ATTATCCATCACAATAATTGCGTTATCATCAAGTGTCGGCAAAATTTTTTTGAACCAATTTTCAAATGAGTTACCATCCATTTCTTCGTGATAGTCTCCAGTTTTTTTGGATTCAAATGCCCACAATGCTTCAGGAACAAATCCATCTACGCTACCTATGTGGCAAATGATCAGGCGTTTTCCCTTGCCTGAAAGTAATTAGAATTAGTTATTTTACTTCTCAGCGAGCGCACTAAATGACGAAATTAAGCAACTTACTCTTTTTAGGTTAGTGTAGGATAGGGTCTTAGATTAGTTTTTGGGTGAAGGAAATACTCAGAAACTTGGATGAGATAGCAAAACTGAGTTCGGAGCTTCCAAATCATTGATTCGATCAGAAAATGAATTATCTGCATCCAAAAAAGTTCATATACTTCGAAACTTACCTGCAGGATTTTTCAATCCTGTCGAAAGGCCATCTAAAAAAGCCTGCCTTGAGGACCTCACAGATCTGTCTACCCAAACCTTTCCCTGCGTATGCCCCGCGTTCACCCATGTTTCGTCTAAATAATAAATTTTTCTTCCTACAGCGCGGAATTGCCTAATTTTTCTAAGGTATTCTCTCCTCCAGATAACAATTTCCTCCTTTTCTATCAATAAACTATTCCTTCCTCTTTTCAAAAATCGAAAGTCTAGTTCTTTCAACAGCTTATGGAACGTAGATCTTTTAAAATTTGGCAGGTCCTCATCATCATTGACTTGCTTCAAGATTTTGTAAACACTTGATCGACCTACTCCAGAAATTTCAGCAACCTTACATACGATATTTTTTATAGATAATCCACTATTCTCTTGCATCTGGTTCTTGTAGATATTTAGAATAATTTGTTTTTCACCTGCGCTAAGATGAAGCTTTTTAGCCCTTTTTCTGGGTGGCGTTAAGCTGATTTCAACCACTTCATCAGCTGTATCTGTGTCAGACATTTTAGACTAATATTAAATTTCCGCAAGAAAAATCAAGTCAAGACGTGCATAAAACGTTCGCGCTCATAAACGGGTATCCGTAACTGATTACAATCCTGTGCGTGGTGACGAACCATCAACGTGACGCTGAGAGTTCCCTCTACTATGCAGCGTTGCCAGGCTTAATGTCACAATGATCATGTTTTATTGGGAAAATTGTCAGAAATCGCCGAATATTGAACAGAAACAATACAAGAAGTCTAACCTTGAAATGTGAGGCTACAAATCGATATTCTTATAGGGGGGAAGGGTAGGGAGCTGTTATAGTTCCTATTAACCTTGGTGAAAGTTGGAAACGGAAATATCATATATGGCATACATTCGGTTGAAGGTGTGTGCACGGAAAATAGATTGCGGATAGGATTTTAATAGATAAATCTGCACAAAAAAACACAAAAGGAGATTTTTGTATTTCCCTGAAGAATATCTCAAGGTTATTTCAGATGTACTCATCGAAACTTTATGGAAGGATTATCGAAACCTTATTTTCAATTGCGATAGGGCCACATACCTCGACATCGCATTAATGTGAAAAATAAGACAATAGAAAAAAATTCCCTCACTGATGCTATCTCTTAGGAAAAATTCAACTATAAAGATTGCACAAAAATTTTCTTCACCTTTTTGAGCTTGTTTTCGCATCTCCGTATATGCCGTTCATAATTTGCTGCAGACCAAATTCGAATATACCTTTGTGATGCCATTTATTGTTATATAATGTCCTTTACAACAGTTATTGCACGTATTGCACCAACAGATTGATTTGTGATCCATGCGAATGTGATCAACCACTCTGGCGAAAACTCGCCGAGCGTGGCAACCGTGCGACTTTGTCTGGAGGCTCGTCGCTACAAGCCAATCAGGAAGAGGCCGACAGAGCGCCATGGCTACCGATCACGCGTTGATCACGAATCAACCACTGTTTACGATTACTTTGTAGCTTCGTTAGATACACTTTACCATGTTCAGTAACTACTAAGAAGATTTAAATTTATTTTCTGCCTCAAACTTGCAAGTAGATTAGTCACTTCGAAGTTTTAAATTTAGACTCTCGCCAGAAATACCAATCCTAAGGTTAAGAAACAAGTTCTGGAAGACCAGCTATGTCTGTTAATTGTCCAACCCCTTCGTTATTACCCGCGTGTGGGACAAATAACATGTGCGTTATTACAACATCATGACTTGTACTTTAAGTAATAAAATTAATCGGCATACTGGGTGCAATGTATTCATATGTACGTAGCGTAGGTAGTAGACCGTTTTGGTTACAATACGATTAGTGGAAGCAGAATTTTAATATTTAGACGGAATTCATGCTAGTTTAAACCGATTATTCCTATTCGGTGATGAACTGTATCTCGAGATGTTAATGCTCGACCACGAGTAAATTCTTGATTAATTCAGAATGCGAGACCGGAACGAAGTGACCAACATATCAGTTTAACGTTTTCAAAACATAATAGTTAACTTATAACCGAGGAATTTGTCTGGCACGAGCACATCTCGCCAACAGCAGCAGCTGCTGGGAAAAAGGTAGGCTATTTGCTTAGGGCTAAGAAGTAATTTTCTCCAAATAGTCCCCTCAGTTTGTACCAGGCCCAGATAAAATCTAGCCTCGAGTACTGCTCACATGTTTGGGGTGCTGCTGCTCTGGCTACATTATACATGCTCGATGCTGTTCAGAGGAGGGCTGTAAGACTAATCGATGACTCTTCTCTAACGAACAGTCTCGGGACCACTTCGCATCGACGAGCCGTCAGTAATCTAGCTCGTTTCTACCGCTACACACACCGGCCTGATTTCGACCTCCCATCTTACCCGTGTCGAAATTCGTAGACCAGATGTCGCCGATACGATCGCACCTTATTTCCTGGGTATAGAGATGAAACAATCTACCTGAAGACGCTTTTCCCAGTCTACTAATATTAGGCAGTTCAAAATTCGGGTTAATAAAGTTTCTTTAAGCTCATCATAGCAGCCCTGATATTTAGGCTTCTGCCTACGAGGCTGCTTCCATATACTTTTCGATTTTCGAACCTCCAGGATACAACTACAACAGGTGCGGAAGCTTCTCAAAGGTAAAAGTGATTAAATTATCTTTGGACTTAAGTGAGACAGTTATGTCTATCATGACTGGTACTGTCTTCGGAGACAGAAGAACAAAAATCTTTATTTTAAATGTTCCAGTATGTTCAAATTTAGAAGGTACGGACATATCGCTGAAAATTCAAATATAATCGAAGAAAAGAAACGCAATAATAAAGCCTAAACCCCCGAAGGACAAAATTCAACAGACTTAAGTCCGCCAACTTAGATGGCCATGACAGTTTGTAGATTTCTGAAGCGTGTTTTCTTAATGATCTTAAGTACATTTTTGGCGATATGGCTATACCCTATATTTCATCTTTTAACAAAATGAAACAGCGAGTCTTCAAAATTGTTTGTTTCTATACCAATATTTGCCTATACCCTTTCGTTATAATTACTCAAGGACTCACTATTTGGCCGGGCGCTTTATATTGACACCCTGTATTTGATGTACATTCGACATTTCTATTGTAAAAACTATTCGCTCAAAAAATTATATCGCCATTTTGCGTCAGTTTATTTTCCAGGTCCTACTCTACGAATTCCATGGAAGTTTTTCGATGAGAACAAAATCAACAAACGCGTATAGTCGAAAACGTATAAATGCAAGAATTAATTTGCATTCCACTAATCATTTTTTCGCATGCATGAACTTTTTATCTGCAATTATGAAAGAATCATAGTCTGTTATGCATGGTACACTACGCAAAATGCTACAGTTTTTACTAAATTCAAAAACTGAATTTTCATTCGTAAATTAAAATGAACACGAATAAAGAGACTTTTGTGCGTATTGTATGTGAAATACATTATTTTTCCTATCAGTTATGCATTACGTTTTTGCGACGAGTATCTACAGGGTGTCCCAGAATAGGAGGTGAGGTCTCAGATTCTGAAGCGACGTTGCATAAAAATGCGACAATGGATGTATTTGTTCGACGACCTTCTCTAAATTGCGGATCTTGGACTTCGCAGAACAATCAAGCATTAAAGTAAAACATTGGCGTCATGTCGGTTGTCTCCGCACTTCCCAGGTAATGCAGTCATCAGTACATAAAGGATTATGCTCAACACAAATTAGACCCTAAGAAAAAAGCTAGCTGCGAACATGTGTATAACAGAGAAACTAAACGGATGAAGTCCGTCAAACAGGTACGTGCAGTTAGTCCATAACATCCTTTCCCTGCCCTCCCAGTAGGCGTGGGAAGTAGGTGGAATCTGCAGTTCCTACTCAACTTAGATACAATAGATAAAAATATAGGAACGAGGACTTTTTTGTGAATCCTGATGAGTACTATAAACATGTAGTACCTTATTTTATGTAACATCAAAAGGTTTTGAATCTGTGACCACATGTGCCTTGGCTTGCGTTGGAATACGCGGCTTTAAGAGCAAGTTTGTAAAGGAATCCATGTGTGAAATTTGTCTAATAGATGCATAGAATTACCGAGGTTAGAAGCATTTAAATATACTTACGCCATCATGTTAAGAACTCCCCATCCATGCCACTTATAACATGAGCCCCAATTCTTAACCCTCACAAAAAAATTCCGAAAATAATCAGGAGCCTCTGAAACGCCAAGAAACTTAGTTTTCCTTTTACATCTGTAACTCCGCCGCCACTGAGTAACATGATTTTTTATGATCTGTATGTCATGTAATATTGGAAAAACAATATGTCACATTTTTCCTGATTTGTTGACCATATTTCCCCGCCAGTGGTGTAGGAAGTCAAAAATGTTGGTGGCAATTCGAAATACATATATTCAGAAATATTTAGATCCTAAAATTTCTTAGATTTTATCAACTAAAACTTTGAATTATGTTAAAAAAAAAATGTTTAAGAATAACGAGTTGTTTGTTGTTTTTTGTAGTTGTGAGGAATAAACACATTTTACCACCACTAAGTGCTAATAAACAGTTATTAACTTACCAGCTCTCAAGGCGTCCATAGGTACAGAAGGATAGGGTATCGAATAAGGATAACCTTCCTTCCGTAACGTTTTGGGCTTACGCCTAGGTCTGTACTTGTAGTCAGGATGCTCTTTCATATGCATTGCGCGTAGTCTTTTGGCTTCATCGATGAACGGCCTTTTCTCGTCTTCTGTTAGGAGTTTCCATTCGGCTCCTGAAAAAAAAACGAACACGTATGGGAAAAGTGTTAACAAAGAACCGAGGAAACAACCAATATAATCCACCGCTCAAACCTTTTAAAAAAAGTAACTTCAAAAAAATAAGGACAAAACTAAATCGTCGGGAATTATTCACGAGTAAAGTTATGCTATTTTTCAACTTTGCGACAAAATCGTGGAATATACATTTTTGCAGTGCAACCTGGCTTGTTAGCATGTATGTATGTGTGGGACAAACTTTGACACTGAAATATGAGTCAGTTAACCTAAACTTATTGAGCTGAAATATGGCAAACACGTTTGGTCCGCGTAACCATACACCATTATGTGCTGCCATTTTGGGTCCAATATGGCGCATGCTATAGCATGGCGATTTACCATTTCTACAGTAACTCCCAAGTTATGGGTATCCAATGAAAGGGCTTGATGAAAGAATCACAATAAGTGAGGTGACGTCATTCTAAATCCGACATAGCGGAACCGCAAGATGGCAAATTATAATTTCGATAGACTGCCATATGATATGAGTATCAAATGAAATGGCTTGCTGAGGGAAACACAGTAAGCAAAGTGACGTAATTCTAAATTTAATATGATGACGCCATAAACTTGCGACTTATAATTTCTATAGTCACCTCTATGACATGGGTATTAAATTTAAGGGTTTGAGGGCTTGGGTACTAAACGGAAAGGCTTGAGAAATGCAATAAATCCGACACTGCCGACACGTTGAGTCATCGTTCAATTAATAAAAACTGTGTTGAACTTCGAATATTCAGAACTGGCCGATGCGACTGCTCCTTTGTCTTTACTGTGCCGAGATTGAGAAACAATCTGCTCGAGGAAACTGTTTCCAGTTCTACTAACCTTGGCCAGTTCAAAAGTCAAACTAACAAGATGTCTTTAAGCTCCTCAAATCAGTCGCGCTGCTCCAGTATTTAGGCTTCTGCCTGCGCGACTGCTTCGGTATATAAAAAAGTAACAGTTTTTTCCTGTGAAGGCTATTCGTGATTCCAATCTTTCGAAACACAAATACGACTTCATTAAGCCTCCTTTATAGTCCTTTCATTTGTGAATTGCAGTCTTTATTGATACTTTAAAAAAATCAAATCAATTGATCTCTAGTATGTAATAGGTAGGGGGAGTCCGGGAGAGTATACCCACCTTCCACTAAAATGCTTTTAAGTCTTTACACGCTTACAAATCTTCATTTCCGATAAATTATATCTTAGAACGCATTATTTAGCTACATTTTTTCTCAAGAAAGCTCAATGTCTACATTTTTTCTCAAGAAAGCTCAATGTAGCATTAAGAGTTTACGAGTTATCAACGATTTCTGCCAAGGTGACATTCGGCTAATATCTCCCGCATGGGTGGGAGACTTGACCCCTCGAGTAGGGAGCCTTTACCCTCCACTTTAGGATTAGGCAAAATAATCATTACACATTGTAAACCTATAATTTTAATTAAAAAAATATGGCACATAGTATTACCTGAACCTACTCCATCTTCCACATAACTAGGTAACAAACCTTATAAGTAGTTAAAGCTTAAAAGTAGGTAATTATTTTTTGGTATGGAATCTTGTACGTTGTCGGCAAAATAAAAATTAGAGTTATTCTCAAAATTAAGAACAAAAATAAAATAATACATAACAAGATAACAAAATCTACTTATAAAATAGTCATACTCTCCATCAGAAACAGGAAGTCAACCTTATAAGTAGTTTAAACTTAAAAACCTTGTATGTTGTCAGTAAAACAAAAATTAAAATAACTCTCAAAATTAAGAGCAAAGATAATAACAACCTTCATCAGTCTTACTTTTTTTAATTGGAGCAATTGGGACAAATAAACTGCTCCTTATCGTCTTTGGATAGTCCAACACACATTTCATGGACATATTTGCCACAAACAGCACAAAGTCTCATGTCCATAACTTTGACTTCCCCACAGATGAAACAAAACCAATTATCAGTAACATCTGGTACTTCATCCCAGGGACTATCAGAACTATCATCATACTTGGGTTCTTCGTCAAGGTCTGTCTCACTGTCACTTGACTGTAAAACTTGTCTTTTTACTGTCTTTTTCTTTGCTTTGCCTGTTTGCCTTTTCGTAGTTATTTTAATTTTCTTATTTTTCGGTGCATACTTATCATCTTGGTCTAGTTTTTCTGGCGTTTTTGTTAAAATTTTAGTTTTTCCGGGCTGTCTACCACGACGAAGACTTTTTCTAGAAGTATCTTTTGGAAATGGTCGAATTGTTTGTGGTAAAACTATTTTTGGTGTGTGTCCGGAATCAGAATCTACCGTTGTCATATCCAGAACATTAGATGTAGAAGCTATCTCTGCTGATCGTCTTGGTATTGTATTTGCTTGCTCGGATTCTTCCGCAGTCAAAATTGATGGTGAATTGATTCTAGGAGCTGCAGTTTCATTCGTGAATACTGATGCTGATGTTGAAGGCTCTGACTGACGTACAGTAGATGTTGAAGGTAATGCGACCGTGGTTGAATCTGATGGTACTTTTGCAGCGACCGAGGGTGAAGTAATCGAAGAAACATCTTGCTTTTGGAGTTCACTAGTCATTTCTCTATCTGTTACCGCAGAGCATAAAAAGTCGTCATCTGTAAAGATGTCCGGGTTATAGGGGTGTATCCCAGTTGATCGAAATCCACTCAAAATATTGGATAGACTAAAAGCCTGCGACATGATTGTGTTTACAAATCCAGGTACATTGTAGATCGTAACAGTTCGTCCTGGGTTACTGATCATCCAGTTATTCATGGCTGAATTATATCTAGTCTTGAAAGATGAATAGACGGAAACATCTAATGGCTGTAGCTTTCTGCTGCAGTGGGGGGGTATAGTCAGCAAAGTGACTCCATTTGATTTTGCATATTTAACGACTTCAACACTGATATGACTTTCGTGGTTGTCGAGGATAAGCAGGACTCGGTTATTAAGAGATGCGTTCGAATATTTCACAAAATGCTCCATGAATTTTACGAAACTCTTGGTTGTCATCCATCCACTAGGATAGGAGTCACCATGTGAGCCTGGAGGCCCACCAGCTACAAAGCATTCGTTGTATCTCACCCTAGGGAAAATGAAAAATGGAGGAAGAACATTTCCCAGAGCGTTCACAGCGAAGCAAACGGTCACAAGGCTGCCGCGTTCAGCTGAAGTAACTTGTCCTACTTGACGCATATGCTTGCTCGCTATTACTTTGGGACACTCTTGTACAGTCGTACACCCTGTTTCATCACAGTTATAGATGTTATGTGCTTCAAATTGGTATTCTTCTCTAACTTCTTTGAGGTTCTCGAAGAAATCAGTAACGTTTTTTCTATTGAAGCTGGTTGATCTGGATAAACTGGTGGCTTCTGGGGTTCTCAAACTTAGTTCAGGGTTTCTTGTCATAAATCCCCGGAACCAATCTTTTCCTGCGCAGTTGTTGGAAGTCCAACAATCTGGAACCTTTTTGGAATTCATTGTTGCATATTCATATGCTAGCTGCATAGTCGCCTGTCTGGTTAATCCATAATTCATTTTGCTGCAAGCTATAAGATATTCAACAAGCGCCTTCTCTTCTTCGATTGTAAATATCATAGATGTTTTAAACTGGCTTCCTTGTTCACTTATTTTAGTCAATTTAGACCTGTCTCTTAAATAATTTCTTAAGGTATTTCTGTCAATTCCATATTCCAAAGCAACACCTCGGATAGACTTTCCTTGATCAATGTCACCTAAAGCATTTTTTATTACTGACAGATCTAAATTGCTTCTCTTTCTAGTTGTTTGTTTTTTTTCTATAGTTGAAGGGCATTCTCTGAAATAAAATGAATAAAATTTATTGCGGGAGAAACGACCCTGACAGAGAGGGAGAGATTGGGGTAAAGTCTCCTCCCAACGCCAGGGTAATGTCTCCCACTCCACGCCATACTACCAGTTATTAAATTTAAAAAAAAGCTATGACACTTGAATAAAAGCTGGCTGTCGTAAATATGACTAGAATAATTACACTTACGGTGTATATAAGTGGCGTGCTGGAATCTATCCACAGTAAAGAACAGAGATCAAATGTCGAAAACTGAATAAACTCACTTTCCAGGTACGAAAAAGTGTTGCCACTTCTTACTTCCAAACCAAACTGCCGATTGTAACGGCGCTACGTGAGCAGGGTGGGAGGTGCCTATGACGTCTGAGAAGTGTGGCAATGTCGTAACATCTCGTGCCACAAATATTCTATGAGCAGCGGCTATTGTCTCCCACCTGCTAGACTCTCCCGGACTCCCCCTAAGTGAGTTGTTGAAGAAAAAAATAATGGTTGATAAAATCGATTATTTTTTATATTTGAGCACCAAAGCCTCTTTATAATATATATCAACGATTTCTCACTGAATATGGGGGATTCTATTAAGACCATACAATATGATGATGATTCTGTATTCTATACCACCAGCACAGGAGCAACAGTTGAAAATGAGATTGATACCTGTAGAGCTAAACTGTGCTTCAATAGAAACTCTCTAACACTGAACACACAAGTATGATACAAGTATCGTTAAAGTTTCATTAAAGGATGTTGCACCACGGGCAGAAAGCTTTCTAGCATAAACTAAAACCTTAGAAGGCTGGTTTATATGGGTTTATTTCAAAGCCAGATATTGTATGGTACTATCTTTTGGAGCAACTGTTCGAACTGGCAGATAATGTTTCGACAACAAAAAACGGCAATAAGAATTATTTCTCAGATACAGAGTCGTGATTCTTGTAGAACTCATTTAAAGAGGTTGTACATCTTAACTGTTCCCGCCCTGTATATATTCCGCTTGTTATGGCTAAGAACACACTTTACTGAGTTAAAGACTTATCAAGATGCTCACTCTCATAATATCTGAAACAGGAATTAATTAATTACTGCTTAACACAGACTGGCCCTTCCAGTCAGGATGAAAATGCTTGCTTTTCATAGGTTTCGAATGGAACTAA